CACGAGGCAATAGCTTCGTGTGTCACCTCCTCGCCACGACGGAGTAGAGAGCTCAAGACCCCCACCACCCACACAGACGTCTACGGAGCGAACCACGAGGTGAGTGAGTGCAGCCCTAGGCCACATTGCCCAGCCTGGTTGGGCTGGGCTGGCCTGGGATTGGGCTGGGCTGATACCCCCACCACCATCCCCTGTGGTCTTTGTGGAACAGTTGGGGGTCTAAACTGTGTTGGTCAATCCCCGTGGAATGTAACATTCATGTAAATGTCTAAGTCGAGATCATTTAATCAGAATCTGGGGTCGTGACGGTGACTAGGTGGATGTTAACTCATTCGCCTGGTCTACAGGAGGTCATGAGTTCGATCGCGACCCTGTAGAGATATTGACTACCTCGCCTGGTCTACAGGAGGTCGTGGGTTCCATCATGTCCCTGTAGAGATGTTAACTCCCTCGCCTGGTCTACAGGAGGTCGTGAGTTCGATCCCAACATGACGCCCCTCTATCAAGTTCAAGTTTATGTATTAGGTGTAGCCCTGTGAGCCATTCGGTTCTTGAATCGGGTGCAACCGCAACAAACAAAAAACAAAAAATGAACAAGAAAACATCTTAAAGTGAATATGTGACTAAGTGCAAACAGAAAAAACTAAGAAAAGACCAAAATATTGCGGAAAAAAACACCGTACACCAACCCTGTGTGCAAAAATCCCAGTGGGATGCAAGTCAAACAACAACAACCACAAGACAACTTAGATTAAGGCCATCAGTCTTACTCCGTACTACAACAAACAAACATGGCCAAACGAAAAAAAAAGGGCCGAACAAAAGCTGTTTAGGCACGCAGTGGCTGGGCATGTGGGTTACATGACCCAGCCAACGCAGCCTTGCCTGCCGGAGGAGCTCACCGATAGGACTTTGTCCAGGTCTTTCAAGGATTTGTGAGCTCCACCGGTTAAGATAGATCGTAGACAGGCCAGCCTCAATGTTTAGGCTGGTCTGTCTAGAATTTCCCTTGGGAGATCATCTCTGCCTGGTGCCTTTCCTGGTCGCCTTCAGGACTTCCTCAACTGATGGCCCCTCAGCCACCCACTCACAGCATTTGAGGCACCGCAGCCTCAGCAGGGTCATCCCCACTTTTCAAATCTACAAACCTGTTCATGGGGGGGATCGGAGATTGGATCACCATACTTTCCCCTAATGACGGTGATAGGTGTGGCACTACAATTTACGTTTTTGATGGAATTAAACAGCGATGTCTGATCACGGGCTACTGAGGCAGATTCCATCTCCTCAGAAACCTGCGACCACCACCCATCATTGCAGCACCTCCCGGCTCTCAAAACCTCTGAGCGAAGGCTGCGGTAAGCCTCCTCATTCTCTGACGTGGAATGCTGTAGACCAGGGGTCCTCAAACTACGGCCCACGGGCCACATGCGGCCCGCCGAGGACATTTATCCGGCCCGCCGGGTGTTTTTGCCGCCGCTGCCTGTCTGTTACTTTTTTTCTACATGAGAAGGACGGTCATTGGTGGAAGAGGGAGAGGGGGCGGAGTTTCCCCCAATCAGACTGCATTGATGGGCAGTGCAGTCTGTATGTCTCTGTGTGGGCAAAGTTATTGCTGGTATATTGTTTTTGTAGCGCTGTATATATTGGTATTTTACTAATAGCAATTTTGACTCCCTAGGAAACAATGATGTCAAGAAAGAGAAAAATTGACTCGGAGTGTAGGATATTCAAAGAACAGTGGACTTATGATTATTTTTTCATGCAGTACAAGGAAAGAGCTGTGTGTCTGATATGCCAGAATATAGTGTCTGTGTTCAAAGAATACAATTTACGTCAACACTATAAAACTCAACATAAAGATACATTTGCTTGTTTGGTCGGAGAAGTGAGAAAAGATACAATATTAAAACTGAAAAATACATTAACAACTCAGCGAAATAGTTTTGTGAAGCAGAAGCAGCTAAATATTTCATCACTGCGAGCAAGTTTTCAAATTGCCAAGCTAATAGCATGCACTGGCAGACCATTCGTGGAGGGAGAATTTGTTAAAGAAAGCCTTCTTTCTGTTGCCAAAGAGATGTGTCCAGAGAAGGGCGATTTATTAGTACAGTGAGTCTTTCAGGACCTACAATTACACGGAGGATTGAAGAAATGGGAGACAATTTGCATCAGCATTTGCAAAACTCCACAAAAAAACTTTCCTATTTTTCCTTGGCACTCGACGAAAGCAATGATGTTCGTGATTCTGCACAACTTCAAATTTTTATTCGTGCGACGAATGACTATTCGAAGTCACAGAAGAGCTTGCTGCCACTGCAAAGCATCAAAGGAACAACTACAGGATGAGGATATCTTCGATTTAAAGCTTTCGTGACTGCAGGGATTCATCTCTTGGTTCTTTTCTGGTAAAGTCACATAGAAGGGAAGTAATAAAATAATTCTCACGACGTTTTCGGCCACAACGCAAGCAGCCGTCCTCAGGCGGAAAACAGGTCTGTTGGGGAGGACAGCGTCTGAATGAAAGATGCACACGAGCCTTGGAGCATATATAAGCTGGGTGGAAGCGGGGGAAAGAGCGCCCTTGACAAAATATATTCAATATCAAGAGGAATTTAGCATATTTATGGGAAATGCAGGAATGTGATTAGTACTACATATGCCCGTGCTGCATATGTAGTACTAATAACATTCCTGCATGTCCCATAAATATGATAAATTCCTCTTGATATGCAAATTATTTGTCAAGGCGCTCTTCCCCCGTTTCCAACCCAGCTTATATATGCTCCAAGCTCGTGTGTGCTGTTTCTTCAGATGCTGTCTCCCCGACAGACCTGGCTTTCACCTGATGGAGCGGCTGCTTGCGTTGTGGCCGAAACGTCGTGAGAATTAGTTTTATTATGTTTTATTTTTATTATTTTATTACTTCCCTTCTACGTGACTTTACCGAAAGAACCAAGAAGAGAGGATATCTATGAAAAGGTTTGCCAAACTGTGAATGGGTTGGAGCTGACTGGGCTAAACTAGCCAGTGTGACAACTGATGGTGCTCCTAGTATGGTGGGTCTAAGAAAGGAGTAATTGCTCGCATTAACCAAGAGATGGACAAACATAACCATTCTCATCCAATAGCCATACACTGCCTCATCCACCAACAAGCGCTGTGTAGTAAATCACTGAAGTGGGACTCGGTTATGAAATTTGTGGTATCTTGTGTTAACTTCATTAGAGCTCATGCACTAAACCACAGACAATTTCAGGCATTTCTGTCTGAGCTAAATGTTGACTATGAAGATGTTCTGTATCACACAGAAGTCCGTTGGCTGAGTCGAGGGGAGAGTTTTGAAACGTTCTATGACTTACTTCCACAGATTACAGCTTTTCTGCTTAAAAAAACAAAGAAAGTACCAGAGCTCAATGATGCAGAATGGAAATGGCACCTTGCCTTTCTGACAGATGTAACAGAGCTACTCAACAGTTTCAATGTGCAACTTCAAGGAAAGGGGAAGCTCATCTGTGATATGCAATCACATGTCAAAGCATTTGAAGTAATATTAGGCCTCCTCATCAAACAAGTGAAGGAGGAAAACTTCTGCCATCTTCCCACAACTCAAAATCTGTTAGCGAAAAACCATTGGTTTGCATTCCCAAACAAAACGTGTGGATTCACTGGAAAAATTGCAAAGGAGTTCCATTTGGATGTAAAGAGCTTCATCTCCATGACAGGACATACAGCTTTTCCCTAACCCATTTTCTATTGACATTGAAAATGTGGATACAATTTACCAAATGGAACTGGCTGAACTGCAGAATTGTGACTCTGAAAGACGCATTCAAGTCAAGCAGCCTTCATAATTTCTATGCATCTCTCCCCTCTGAGACATATCCTCATCTCAGGAACCATGCACTCAAAATGGCAACCATCTTTGGCAGCACTTATGTCTGTGAACAGACTTTTTCCAGAATGAAACATTTGAAATCTCCAACCAGATCTAGACTAATGGATGCACACTTGCATCACTTGTTACGACTACCAGTGACAAATATGGAACCGGACATTGACCATCGCATTAGCCAAAAGCAGGCCCATAGTTCCCATTGAAATACTGGCAAGTTTGTTGATTTAACTTTACTTGTTCTTCATTTAAATATTGTATTTATTCCCGTTTTGTTTCTTCACTTCAAAATAAGATATATGCAGTGTGCATAGGAATTTGTTCATAGTTTTTTTAACTATAGTCCGGCCCTCCAACGGTCTGAGGGACAGTGAACTGGCCCCTGTTTAAAAAAGTTTGAGGACCCCTGCTGTAGACTATGAGAGTGGGCCTGTCGCTTTTTCTCAGCCAGCCTGAACACCTCCTCTGTCAGCCAGGGTCTCTGGGGAGGTCTGAACCGCGTACCCAAAGCAGCCATTGCAGCTGCATGAGCCACAGTCATTAACCTCGCCCATTAACCCTCGATGTGTATCTGTGACCCTCTGTGACAATTCTCTCTCTCTCTGCGACTCTCTGCTTCTCTCTGTCTCTCTTGCGTCTCTGTGTGATCGCTGCTGCTGCTGCTGCTGCTAGCGGCGGCGGCCTTCCGGCAGCAGAGGACATCCACGTGACCTGCGGCGTCTGCGTTCGAAGCGTTTGGGGGCGGCGGGGATGGAGCAGCAGTACGAGTCCGTGGCCGAGTTGGGCGCTGGGGTCTACGGGGCCGCGACGACTTTGAAGGCTCGCGACCTCCGGGAGCAGGGCCGCTTTGTGGCGCTGCTCAAGGGCCTGCGCCTGCAGACAGGCGGGGGCCCGGAGGAAGATGCCTGGCAGCTGCGCAGCTACAGCTGCTCACGAAGTCTGGAGCACCCCAACGTGGTGAGGTGGGTGTCTCTCCCACCCCTCGCGCCGCGTCACAATCCCTCGCAATCGTCGCCGCGTCAGCCTCCATCCTCCAATTCTCCACGGTCAGTCGTGTCTTTAAAAGATTAGGAGACAGATACATCGTCGTCGTCGTCAAACCGAGATGACTCTGCGCTCTCTTGCTCTGATGTCATCCGACCCCGACCCCCGACCGGCCTGCCCAGGCTGCTGAGACGTCTTTGTGGATATTCTGACGAGGGCGGCGCGCGTCACGCCCGTGGTCTGTGAGCTCGTAGACCAGGATCTGTCCACCTACCTGGGGAAGTGCGCCCACACACCGTCCCACCACATCAAGGTGCCACCGCCTAGCACCACCACCACCGCACCCCGTCACTCCCTACTCCACCCCCAAAAAGGCAACACCACTCTCAGAGTCTCTGTGTATCTCTATGGGTCTCTACGTGTGTCTCTGTGAGTCTCTATGAGTCCTCTGTGTGTCTCTGTTGTCTATGAGTCCTATGAGTCTCTGTGGTCTCTGAGTCTCTATGAGTCTCTATGAGTCTCTGGGATGGCCTCTGTGTATCTCTGAGTCTCTATGAAGTCTACCAGGTCTCTGTGTATCTCGCACAAGCACGTTGCCAGCCGAGCCTCGGAGGCGGCTAACGAGTTTACACTCCCCCCCCCCCCCCCCCTCCTTGTGTCGTGACCTTGTGCACGTGCCCTTGTGCCGTGCCCTTGCGCCGTGACCTTGCGCCGTGACCTTGTGCCGTGCCCTTGCGCCGTGCCCTTGCGCCGTGACCTTGTGCCTGTGACCTTGCGCCGTGACCTTGTGCCGTGCCCTTGTGCCGTAAACCTTGTGGCCGTGACCTTGCGCCGTGCCCTTGCGCTGTGCCCTTGTGCCATGACCTTGTGCCGTGACCTTGCGCCGTGACCTTGTGCCGTGCCCTTGTGGTGCCGTGACCTTGTGCCGTGACCTTGCGCCGTGACCTTGTGCCGTGACCTTGCGCCGTGCCCAGGAGGGTGACGCGCAGCTGCTGTGTGGGCTGCGCTACCTGCACGGCCACGGCCTGGAGCACCGCGAGCTCACGCCACGCAGCGTCCTGGTGACGGCCTCCGGGCGCGTTCAAGATCGCCGGCGGGGGCTCGCACGCTTCCTGGACAGCGCGAGCAGGGCTCCCACCCCGGCGGTGAGTAGAGAGAGTGAGAGAGAGAGAGGTCTTCTTGGTTCTTTCGGTAAAGTCGTCACGTAGAAGGGAAGTAATAAAATAATAAAATAAAACATAATAAAATAATTCTCACGACGTTTCGGCCACAACGCAAGCAGCCGTTCTCAGGTGAAGACCAGGTCTGTCGGGGAGACAGCGTCTGAATCTGTCTTCCGGCCAACACCGGCGACGATTATCTTAACCGGTCCCGGGCCTCCCCTAGGTTGACTCAGCCCCAAAAGAGTACCCGGTGCGGTGCGCGGTAAACATCGCCACCGGGGAGACAAAGGCGGCCGGGCGCGATGCTGGCCACCCACCCCTCGTGTGCCGGCCGTCATAGGTGCTGCTAACGGCACTTGCCCCTACGGTGTGTGAAGGCTACACGGGGGATCTTTGTCTTTGTGTGTGTGCTGCTGTAGGTGTCCCCGTCGTGGTACCGCGCCCCGGAGCTGCTGCTGCTGCGGGTGACCTGCGGCCCGGCCGCTGCCGACCTGTGGAGCGTCGGCTGCATCTTTGCTGAGATGTTTACACGCAGGTGCTCCTTGAGCACCGCCACCCGCACACCCAGCCACCTAGCAACCCACCCACCTAGCAACCCACCTAGCAACCCACCTAGCAACCCACCTAGCAACCCACCCACCTAGCAACCCACCCACCTAGCAACCCAGCCACCTAGCAACCCACCTAGCAACCCACCTAGCAACCCACCTAGCAACCCACCCACCTAGCAACCCACATAGCAACCCACCCAGCCACCTAGCAACCCACCCACCTAGCAACCCACCCACCCACCTAGCAACCCACCTAGCAACCCACCCACCTAGCAACCCACATAGCAACCCACCCACCCACCTAGCAACCCACCCACCCAGCCACCCACCCACCTAGCAACCCACCTAGCAACCCACCCACCTAGCAACCCACCCACCCACCTAGCAACCCACCCACCCACCTAGCAACCCACCCACCTAAACCCACCCACCCACCTAGCAACCCACCTAGCAACCCACCCACCTAGCAACCCACCCACCCACCTAGCAACCCACCCACCCACCTAGCAACCCACCCACCCACCTAGCAACCCACCCACCTAGCAACCCACCCACCCACCTAGCAACCCACCTAGCAACCCACCCACCTAGCAACCCACCCACCACCTAGCAACCCACCCAGCCACCACCTAGCAACCCACCCACCCAGCAACCACCCACCCACCAATCTAACAAACCACCCACCCACCTAGCAACCCACCCACCCAGCAACCCACCCACCCACCTAGCAACCCACCCACCAACCCACCCACCTAGCAACCCACCCACCCACCAATCCACCAAACCACCCACCCATCAACCCACTCAACAACCCACCCACCCACCTAGCAACCCACCCACCAACCCACCCACCTAGCAACCCACCCACCCACCAATCCACCAAACCACCCACCCATCAACCCACTCAACAACCCACCCACCCACCTAGCAACCCACCCACCCACCTAGCAAACCACCCACCTAGCAACCCACTCGACAACCCACCCACCAATCTACCAAACCACCAACCCACCAACTCACTCAAGAACCCACCCATCAACCCACCCACCAACCCACCCACCAACCCACCCACCTCTCCCGCACGCAATGTCACCACAGGCCTGGCAAGGTGGCGTCGCCACGGCGCCCGTGCCAGGATAGGTGCGCGTTACGGAGCGCGTGAAGGTCAAGGGACAGACCCGGCAGATGCCCCCGTGGGTCCACCTCTCCCCCATTACATCGGTGTTGTTATGATGATGATGACGATGACGACGTGTTATTATTCTCAGCGACGTCGCATCAGGTGACCTCCTTGTCTCTCCTCAACGCAGGCCTCTCTTCCCCGGAGGCTCCGATGTCGATCAGCTGACGGAGATATTCCGGTGAGTTGCTCGTGGATGAGCGTGCGGTGGGCAGCGGCGTGGGGGGCCAATAGACGGTCATCTAATTTGTTCAGCAAGCAACGTGGGGGGGGGGGGAGGAGGGGAGGGGGGGGGAGGGGGGGAGGGGGGAGGGGGGAGGGAAGTGGGAGGAGGAGGGGGGGAGGGGGAAGGGGGAGGAGAGTGAGGTGGGGAGAGGGAAGGGGGAGGAGAAGGAGGGGGGGAGGAGGAGGGGGGGAGAGGGAAGGGGGGGGGGAGGGGGAAAGGGGAGGAGAAGGAGGGGGGGAGAGGAGGAGGGGGGAGGAGGAGGAGGGGGGGGAGAGGGGAGGGGGGGAGAGGGAAGGGGGAGGAGTATTTGGCTGCTGATGTGAATTCCGCAACAGCCACTTCGTTGCGCAATCATTTATGAAATTAGGTTGATAGTCAACAGCTGAATTCTCACCGTCACCTCCGCCCCCCTACCCCCCCTACCCCCACCCCCCCCGTGGCCCCCACCCCAGTCTTCTGGGCGTGCCGAGCCTGGAGGAGTGGCCGCTCGGAGCCTCCCTGCCGCACGGCGCTTTTGCCGGCCTCCCCGCTGCTCCGCGGGCTCTGGCTGACTCCGTGCCGGAGGTCGGGCCGGAGGTCGGGCCGGACAACGAGAATTTGGCGATGGCGCTGATGCTGGTGAGAGCGGGCGGATTGTACGCGGCGGCAATTGTCGCGGCGGTCGAACGACGCGTTGTTCAGATGCGTGTCCGTACGGGGGTTACCGTCAAGCGGGCAATAACGTCGTGTCTCTGTGTGTCTCTGTGTGTGTCTCGTCTCGTGTCTCTGTGTCTCTCTGTGTCTTTCGTCTCTGTGTCTCTCGTCTCTGTGTCTCTCTGTGTCTCTCCGCGCCCTCCGCACGCACGGCCGTGCCTCCCGCAGGACCTGCTGACCTTCAGCCCCCGCAAGCGCATCTCCGCGTTGTCGCCCTGTACCATCCGTACTTCTCTGAGGCCACAGACGTGGCCACGGGCGAGAGTACGGCCACAAGCGAGGGTGCGGCCACGGGCGAGGATGAGGCTAAGGAGTGCCCCGGGGCAAGGCCTAAGGAGTGGGCCCCGGGGCGAGGCCTAAGGAGTGGGCCCCGGGGCGAGGCCTAAGGAGTAGGCCCCGGGCAGCAAGGCCTAAGGAGTGGGCCCCGGGCAGCAAGGCCGAGGGAGTTTGCGTCGTTTTTCGTTGGTCGCTTGTGTTGCGCCCGAAACGTTGCGATTTGATTTGTTTTAATGTTTCACCGACGTGACTTCACCGAATAAAAGCAAGGAGTAATAAAAGTGAACTCTGAAGCAGCAAAAGAAAAGTGAAGTACTCTTTGTTGTCATCGTGTTGTTGTTTTCACAATGTTGCAGTGGGCGACTTATTAAGAGCACGCCGTTACGTAGCGCAGCTACGCACAGGCGATCTGTATTGATTGTGTAGTGGTGGTATTGACGTGCGCCGGCAGTGATGGATCACGGGGCGCGGGGTTGGGCACGCGATGTGGGCGTGGCATGGACGCGCGCGCCGGTGGTGAGGCGCGCTCACACAAGCTGGGAAAAGAGGATCGTAGCGAGTGCGCAGTGATTGGTCAGATAAGTGGGTACTCTCAGCGACGTCCGCAGGAGGGGTATAAAGGGGGACGCGCGAGAGCACTCGTGGTCAGTGTTAACCAGTTGAAGACCGAAGACGGGTGGAGGAGGTAGTGGCCCGAGACCCCTAGTCCCGCCGTCCTTGTGGGGACCGGGGCCCTGTGTGGCTCGGAGCCGAGACTGGGGGGACCGTAGTCCGACGCCCGTGTGGGTCGGGACGGTGGTACCCAGAGCCGAGACGGGCACCCCGGCTGGGTGTGTCCCGGAAGGCTACGGGGCATAAGAGCCCGTGTCAGTACAGCTGAGTGGGTGTTGGTCACCCGTGTAGCTGAGTGGGTGTTAGTCACCCGTGTAGCTGAGTGGGTGTTGGTCACCCGTGTAGCTGAGTGGGTGTTAGTCACCCGTGTAGCTGAGTGGGTGTCCGTCACCCGTGTAACTAAGTGGGTGTTGTCACCCGTGTAACGAAGTAGGGTGTTAGTCATCCGTGTAACTACAAGTTGGTGAAAATAAAGAGTGTGCTACCCGTGAAGTCGTCTCCTGCCGAGTTACTACTTTACAATTGTATAATGCTCTAGACTTCTAGGTCAGTCATCATATATCTGTGTGACAGCGTCGCAGCCATGTGCGCACTGACACGGCCATATGACGATTGAGTATAAACCAGAGGTCGCAATCGGGTACCCGATACCCGTACCCTACACGATACCCGGCTAGCCGTACCCGGACGGGTACGGGTACCCGTTTGCGACCCTGGTGCAGCCGGTACGGGTAGACCGTGAGTCACTGGTGAGTCACCGTGTGTCACTCATTTCCCAACGTCTTGTCTTTACAATACAAGTTCCTAGAATCAACCCACCCGCGCCTGCAACATGGCTTCATCCCAGAGGTCGCAATCGGGTACCCGATACCCGTACCCTACCCGATACCCGGGTACGGGTAGGGTAGGGTAGGGTACGGGTACCCGTTTGCGACCCTGGTGCGGCCGGGTACGGGTAAGGAATCAAAACCCGTTTGCGACCTCTGGTATAAACGAACTCACGTGGATACATGCCCCACACAGGGCCTGAACATTGTATCACAAGGGGTCGTTCACTCACGGTTCAATGACACAGCAATACAATTTTAGCCGTTATTAAAACGGTGCTTATACACAGATGTGTACAGGATTTCATGTTGTCCTGTTGCACGTTCTATCTGGCCAAGCAGCACTGGGAAAAGAACATCTGACTCACAAGTTGTGGGGGCCATGAGTCACAATCCCAGGTGGGTGCCAGGTGACTTGACCTCATTATGGGATGTCAGCAATGGATGTCCTGTGAAGAATGTTTTAAGCCCCTTTTTGTAAATCCACCGTTGAAGGCCTCCTGATACCATGTTGAGCATCCATAAAGGTTGAATGAGTTTGACATTTTACTCGTAGGAACCTCTGGTTACACCAGCCCACACGGGATTATTGTGTCCGTCGTGCAGGGAGGGGCTGAGTGGGGAGCGGCTGGGTGGGGAGGGGCTGATTTGGGGGGGCTGGGGGGGTGGGGCTGGGTGGGAGGGGCTGGTCACCCCGTGGTGCCCTTATAAAACTCAACGTTTAACCTACTCACGCCGGCTTGTGCCCGCCCTCACAGTCGGGCATATTTGCGGAATACACCACGCCGCCGTTGACCCTGCAGGCCATTGAGCGAGCAACGTTCCTACCAGCTCCCTCCGCAGGAGGAATGTGTTTATGTGTCGTTAGACCCTCCACCACCCGATGACACAGCCCATCAGTGAGGGTTGCCACGTAAACAAAACACGCCGTGTCGTTACTCGCACAGCGGCACACAGGTGCGTTGGAGAGTAAACCCACGACAACAACGTTTACAATTCCAGTGTGAATTATAGATTTGAAGTGTTCGTGACTGCAAGGATTCATACTCTTTGGTTTTTTCGGTAAAGTCACGTGGGTACAAAATCTAAATAAATTAGATCACGACGTTTCGGGCGCAACACAAGCATCCTTCTTCAGGTAGGGACAACTTAGAAGGAGGCTTGTGTTACGCCAGAAACGTGATTTAATTTTTAACAAAAAATTAACTACGTGACCAACGAGTATAACACTGGTCAAACACTTTTTCTGCTGATTCCAAATCTGGCATCAGTTTTTGTCTATCACAGCAGGTTTTTGAGATATCAAATATTTGCATTTTCAATAAAAACTGCAGAAGAAAAATATTAAATAAATGTGGATATCTACATAAAATGATTATAAACACACTATCCTAAAATACAGCACCATATTTTAACACTAAAGCAGTCACCGACTCGCAACAACTTGCAATCATAAGTGACAGAGTTAATTTCGGGTAAAATCAATGAAAATGGGTATGCCGATAGCATAATAAGTATAACCGGTAAAAGCAAAGTTTTTCACTATAAATCCTTTATATGCGTGGCGGCTAGAGTCCTCTCGTCCTCTGGCTTGAGATGGCTGCCACCTATGGGTCAGATGATTGTCTGCCACCATTAAGCAATTGGTAATTAAATTTAATTTGTTTTCCCTAAAAAGTGTAAAATTTTGCAAAAAAAATTTCACGAACATTAATTGTCACGCACAACGAGTCTGTGTGCAAAATGTCAGCTCGATTGGATCACGGGAAGTGGGTTAAAAACGACCGAAAGATTTGCACGGTCTAAGCAAGCAAGCGAACTTAATATAAAGGATAAAATGAGATGTGATGGAGCAAATCTGAGATCACATTTGGAATCGGCAGCCTGAAGTGAGTCTAGAACAGCTGCACAAGTCCAGGCCAGAGAAAGATCCCCCGTGTAGCCTGCAGCGACTGCTGGGGCAGCAGGGCTGAACGAGTGGACGGCGACTCTGGAACCCACAACCAACCGGCGGGTGGCGAGCGATGAGGTCGGCCATAAATGACGTCACACGATTTAGGACGATTTTTGCCACCCCCCCCCCACCCCCTCGTCACCCCCCCCTCAAATATGACGTCACAAAGCTCTGCCCCCCACCCCCCCAAAAAAAAATGCTTCAAATCGCTTTAAACTCTGATGTTGTAGGAGAAAACATTGATTAACAAGTCTATTTATTAAGTAGAACGTGTTGTCTATATCTTATTGGTTCTTTCTGTAAAGTCACGTAGAAGGGAAGTAATAAAATAATAAAATGAAAATAAAACATTAAATAATATAATTATATTATTATTTAAAGTTGCGCATTTTGATGTGACGTCACATTTCTCAACCCCCCCCCCTCGTCACGCATCGTCACAAATGTCTGACCCCCCCCCTCCCCATAGGTGCGTGACGTCATTTATGGACGGACCCTTAGCATGAACCGTTTGCCCCCAATCAATAGGTTTTTGTTCACAATATTTCAATGTCCAATATATTCTAGTGCTGTGCAAGAGCCTGTCAGTGCTGTTTGTTTAACCCCCCCCACCAACCCTCCATCAAATGTAAACGAATGAAATCGATACTTTATAATCGATCATTATTAATATTACCACTACGCCGATCTCGGAGTGGTCAAAGCACGCGTCTGCGCATGCGCGGTTGCCACGGCGACCGCGCATGCGCAGAAGCGCCGATAGTGCGGTTGCCACGGCAACAGAGCAACACAGCAGCTGAGAGGGGAGTCTTGAACAGCAACTTCAACGCCCTCAGCACCACCAGCCACCACCACCACCACGATGTTGTTGTTGTGTAGCTACTACCATAGAGTTGGTAGATACTACTCGGTAGACACTACTGCTGTAGAGGGAGCCACTTGATACTATTGTACAGTGAAGCCTCACG